TTTTCACTGTGTTTATAAATGTTTGTGTGTGTGTGTGTGTGTGAGACAGGAATTGTGAGTCACTGCTTAAACGTGACTACAAGGCAACACCAATTTTCCTGCACAATTGCACATTACACCTATATGTTTCCTATCGTTATATTCTCACCAATAATGCACAAAATTTGTTTTTCAAATTCACTACCATCAATTTAAGATTAAATTTAAAATTGCATAGATTTTAAAACTTTTCATTTCTTAAAGAAATAATTATTATGTATAATACCTAATAATTATTACTATAAATTAATTTAATTTAATTTAATTTAATTTTATTTTATTTTTAATTTAAATAAAATAAAAATTTTATTTATAATTTAGTAAAATTTTACTAGTAAAAAATAATAGAAATTATTTTTTTTTGTCAGTCATTTCTTTTTTTTTAATTTTTCCCCTGATATTAAAATTACACAAGAAATGAAAATAATTGAATTTTTTAAAATTACTTTTCTTGGATTATTTCTTATTAGGGAAAAAAGTAAAACATTATTAGAAAATTTGAACTTAAAAAAAAGAAATCTACTGTATATAGCTATATAGCTTTATTATATTATATAAATTTTATTATATAATAAAGTTTAGAATTATTAAACAATGCTTCAAAAAAAAAAAAATTTTTTTTTTCCTTTTTAATATATAACTATATTAAGTTTCGCATAGTTTCTCTAAACTTTTTAGAATTTCATATATAAAAATTTTATTTTTTAGCACATTTTTTTCTGAATCGTAAACTGCTTTTATAAAATTTAATAAATCATTTTCTTTCAGTGAATGTCAATTTCAATTAAACCGTTTTTTTTTTTTTTTTAATAATTTAATATTACTTAATATTATAATATATTTTTTAAATATTTAATATTAAATAATAAATTTTAAAAATTTTGATTTACATTGTTTTTTAAAAAAATTTGTTTAAAAAACATTATTCCAAGGTTTTAGAAATCGCTTTCTTCTATAACAGAAAAATAATTCTTTAAGAGAAATAAAACGTTAAAGGGAATTCAAAAGGGTAAATTCTTATTCAATTAAAAAATTAGTTTTTATAAATATTTGAGAAGAAAATTATTCAAGAGATTGAATGCAAAACGCATATATATATAATTTGAGAGAGAGAGAGGGGGGGGGATCAATAACGAAATTGCCACTTAGGAGTCAATAATCACTTTAGCAGTAATTTAATTAGCTATTGTGATAATTATTTCATGCAACCCCAATAAGCTTGCGTGCAAACCTCACTGACAGTTTTCCGCACTAATTAATCGCTAATATTATTAGCGGCGCTATATGTCATTTAATCTTTTCGTCGCAAAAGCGTGCAGACGATTTTCAATTCCAATTAAATACATAATATTTATTTCATTTAATTATAACTATTATTATATATTACTATATATTATTATATTATTATTATTATTATTATTATTATTGTTATATTTGTGATTATTATTCTTATGATTATTTTCTTATTTGCAGAAAAAATGATCCTTTATATAAACTAAGGGGATTGTGTTTCAATAAATAAATCAAATGAAATAAAAATTAAACGAAAAGAATGAATATTTCACGTTAAAAAAATTGTATAAGATATAAATTGACGATGTGACGTTATATAATAAAAGACATGAGCTTGCACATTTTGAGAGGCGCAAAATTATATTGTCATCGTAATAAAAGAGAATTTTTTCAATGGTTGCAATTTAAAATTTAATTAATCTTCACTAGAGCCATACGTTTAAAAACAGAAATTATTCGCATTTTCCATTTAACAAATTCGAATACAGAATTATCATGCATTTATTTTAAAATAAAATGTTTTCAATTTTTTTTTCTAGAATTTAAATTATCTTTATACGTGAAAATAAATTTTTAGTGAAATTAAAATAAAAAATAAATTAAATATATTTCCCGTCGAAATGATTATTATTCAATTAAATAATTATTAAATAAATATATTTATCAATTATTTTTTTTAGTGATAAAAATTGCGAATTATATATATATATATATGGGACGTTTCACGTTAAGCGGGCCACCCCGATGGCCAAAATTGAGAGCTTCCAAAAAAATCGCTTATACCCAAAAATTATTCATATATATAAGTACTTTCAAAAAATATGTGGCCTTTTGAAAAATCCAATATGGCGGCCCTAATATAACCTACAAATGTGTCTAAAATTAAAAAAAGAGGCCTAAAAGTGCTAATAAAAAGGGATTAAATGAGGAAATCACCTATGTATTGGCGGTAAAATTAGCACTAGGATACATACTTTGTATTCCGCAAGCAATACCGGTAATTTGATATTAATTTTCAGAAAATAAATATGGCGGATCCAATATGGTGGAAAAAAAATTTTAAAATGCATCGGATTTGCTTGAAAGTTGTTACTCGGGGGTTTCTGAGGTCGCTGCTGCCGAATCTGATGTTAATTTTCAGAAATTCAAAATGGCGGATCCAATATGGCGGACAAAATTTTTTTAATTCATCAGATTTCGTTGAAAGTTGTTACTCGGGGGTTTTTGGGGTCGCTGATACCGAATCTTTTGTTAATTTTCAGAAATTCAAAATGGCGGATCCAATATGGCGGACAAAAATTTTTTTAATTCATCAGATTTCGTTGAAAGTTGTTACTCGGGGGTTTTTGGGGTCGCTGATACCGAATCTATTGTTAATTTTCAGAAATTCAAAATGGCGGATTCAATATGGCGGACAAAATTTTTTTAATTCATCAGATTTCGTTGAAAGTTGTTACTCGGGGGTTTTTGGGGTCGCTGATACCGAATCTATTGTTAATTTTCAGAAATTCAAAATGGCGGATTCAATATGGCGGACAAAAATTTTTTTAATTCATCAGATTTCATTGAAAGTTGTTACTAGGGGGTTTATGGGGTCGTTGATAAAGTATCTAATATTGGTTTTTGGTTTTTAGAAAGTTTTATATGGTGCGTTAAAAAAATATTTTTTCTTAGTTTGCCCCGTGTAGAAAATAAAGATACTTTCTCCATGAGGAAGCAAAAATTAAAAAACATCAATTACTTCATCCTCAATTGGTTTAATAATTATCTAATTAAGTTATTATTGATATGTATTAATATTTTACGGCGAGCCTTGAAAAATTAATTTATGTAAAAAATAAAGAATTTTCGTGAATTTATTTTGCCTAATATTTGGTTTAATGAATATTATTAGACTCTTTTTTAGCCTAAGTTAATTTCAATATTTGTTTACATGTTTTAAATTTTCATACTCATTATATGAAAAGATCTTGAAAATTATTTAAATAAAGTATTAAAAAGTAAAGGAAACAAATAAAGAAATTTTTATCCACAACAATTATTGTCTGCTATATAGGATCTTCCATTTTGAATTTCTGAAAATCCACATCAGATTCGGTATCAGCGACCCCATAAACCCCCTAGTAACAACTTTCAATGAAATCTGATGAATTAAAAAAAATTTTGTCCGCCATATTGAATCCGCCATTTTGAATTTCTGAAAATTAACAATAGATTCGGTATCAGCGACCCCAAAAACCTCCGAGTAACAACTTTCAACGAAATCTGATGAATTAAAAAAATTTTTGTCCGCCATATTGGATCCGCCATTTTGAATTTCTGAAAATTAACAAAAGATTCGGTATCAGCGACCCCAAAAACCCCCGAGTAACAACTTTCAACGAAATCTGATGAATTAAAAAAATTTTGTCCGCCATATTGGATCCGCCATTTTGAATTTCTGAAAATTAACATCAGATTCGGCAGCAGCGACCTCAGAAACCCCCGAGTAACAACTTTCAAGCAAATCCGATGCATTTTAAAATTTTTTTTCCACCATATTGGATCCGCCATATTTATTTTCTGAAAATTAATATCAAATTACCGGTATTGCTTGCGGAATACAAAGTATGTATCCTAGTGCTAATTTTACCGCCAATACATAGGTGATTTCCTCATTTAATCCCTTTTTATTAGCACTTTTAGGCCTCTTTTTTTAATTTTAGACACATTTGTAGGTTATATTAGGGCCGCCATATTGGATTTTTCAAAAGGCCACATATTTTTTGAAAGTACTTATATATATGAATAATTTTTGGGTATAAGCGATTTTTTTGGAAGCTCTCAATTTTGGCCATCGGGGTGGCCCGCTTAACGTGAAACGTCCCATATATATATATATATGAATTTATAAAAATTGATTAATAAAAAATGTCAAATTTTCAAGGAATAAGAATAGTAATTCAAGACTTGTAAAAATGCGTGTGGTATTACGAGTGGGGAAATTGTGTGATATCTGAGGTAAAATTTAACATAACAATAGTCTAACGCGATAGTAAAAAAAGAAAGAAGAAAAAAAAAAAAAAAAAAAAACAGTAATAGCGTGTTGTGGTTGACTAAAGCTTGGTTTTATATGTCTCCTGAGGGTGAAGCATACTCTCTTTCTCTTTCGAGTGAGAGACCCCCCCTTTTCCACTTGTTGTTACTAGAAGGTGGTAAAGGAAGAATAGATGTATATTTTTGTATGTTAGTAAGAGAGACGAGGAAAAGAGAGAAAGAGAGAGAGAGAGAGAATGAGCGAGAGAAGAAATGCTCTCAAAGCCTTGCTTTGTCACCCGTCGCCTTTCTCCATTATTAAATTGCTCGGTTCCCATCCCTTAACACGTGAAAACCACTTCTCGAAACATACACTTTTCCTATCCAACAAAGTATTATTCACTTCGTAAAGAATAATTTAGGGTCATGTTCTCCTTCACTGCTTTAATTATTCTATTTACGTGTGTACTTTATTTATCCCCCCCCCCCAATCTTTGATTTTTACAATTATTTTTTAGTTTTAATAATTTTTTTTTTGTCTACCAATTGATGGAAAATTGGCAAATAAAAATTTGTTTGAAAAATTATTATAAATTATATATATAAGAACAATAAATAGTAATCTGTTATGGATATATAGAGATTTTACTTACAGTCAACTGATACTTTGATCTGCTTGCTCACAGTTGGAGGTATTCCATTACTGGCTATGCAGAGATAAGCTCCCATGTCTAACCTGGATATCCGGGTCATTTCTAAAGTGTTTCCTTCCAATTCGGACACTGAAAGTATACATTTTTCTATGAAAAATATATATTCATACGACACAATATTTGCAACATGGAAAAATGGAAAAGAAAATTGAAAATAATAAACTATGAAAAAAATTTATTTGATTCAAATAATCGACTATTAACAAATAAATATTTATTTGAAATAAATATATATTTTTATTAAATAATTATTATTTGAGATGGAATTTTTAATATGGACTTATAAATTTTTTTTAATATGGAATTAAATTTTTTTTTTTCCCCACTATATATCAATAAATAATCAAAAAGAATTTTATCACTAAAATGAAAATTCTATATTGGTTTTTCAATCTATTCGATAGAATTGTATAAATATATATACTTTTCCATTATATGTTTCTTGAAAATAACAAAATTTTAAAAGTAATAATTATCCAATAATAATTACTCGCATGAAGTATAATTAAAAGAGATTTAATGATAAAACGTAGATGTAGCCATATATATATATTAGTAGATAATTTATGTTCTAGTTATTGCAGAACAAAATATACTATATTTATCATTTTGCGGAATGTCAAAATATAATTTCAACGAATAATGAACGATTTATATATAGAAATAATTTTTATAATTAGTATTATTAAAAATAAAATGAAAGAAAATATTTAAATATCATCCATACCTGATAAACTTTTATTGATTGCAATTTTTGAACCATCATCTCGTTTCCAACGGATGCTGGGTATTGGACTTCCAGTTGCTTTACACGTTAGTGAAACATTTGCACCTTCTCGTACAATTGCATCGGACGAACTTTGCGAATCGTCAATATTCGGAGGCACTGAAATCAAATAAAAAAACAAAAATTTTATAAATTTTCTATTTTCTTTTTTATTTCTCCTCGGTTTAGAACTAAATAAAATCAATTTTTGAATATTGGGTGTAGCTGTAGTCGCTAAGGCGCTGTGTCTCGTACTCGGGTACGTGGTATCAATTCCCGCCAGGGTTAAAAAAAAATTTATTTGGTTTAAATTAAATTTACTAGAAATAAAAAATTTCTTTTGATGATTAATTAATTTATTTTCCGCGACTATTTTGGAAAAAAAAAAATTTCACCGAGTTAAATAGTAGAGAGGATAAGAGAACGCAGATAAGAGAAGGAGAGAGAAAATCCCCGTTAAAAACTCGTAATCACTGACGATAAGAGGAGGGAGAATTCGCGAAAGAAATGTCCTTGAAAAGCGCGCACTTGATTCCCACTGAATCCTATGCGGACAAAGTTAGAAATAAACCACCGTAAAAGAATCGACGCTTCTTTAACATTTAAAGCAGTCTTCATTTAATGGACAATATTTTTCTTTTCTCATTTTTTTTCTTTTAGTCGGCGACTGTTTGTCGAAATTCAACATTTACGTCCTTACCAATTATAAAGGCGGCTTATTCTATATAGAATTACTGGGGCTTTAATGAGCTTTAAAAATCGTTTCAAAAGTCAGCCTTATTGTGAAAACCAGAGAGAGAAAGAGAGAGAGAGAGTGAGAGAATTCTGCGGTAGTTGTAAATCAATTATAGGCGAACCGAATGGGCCGCGAAACTTGTTTGCATTCTAACGGGTAAAATTCGTTTCGTTTATATACCGAAAATGGTATATAATGTTTCATGTGATAAAAGCAAACAAATTTTACAAATTAAAATTAGTTTAAAAGAGATGAAAAAAAAAATTTAAATAAAGTAAAAAAAAGGTTTTTTTTATGAAAAAATAAAATAATTATTATTGACAATGAATCCCATTAGAGAAGTTAAAAGTCTCTTGACGTTTTCTAAACATGTATGATTATTGGTAATTATTTACTGAATTAAATATGCCACAAGAATGCACATTTTTATTTTTCCCCCCCGCTTTATCAACTGTCAAATTAAAATTTATGCCATTGAAATTAAGGACCAGACGACAGTTGAATTGTCAGATAATTCTGATTAGTAAACTGACGGCTTTTAAACCAAACTATAACTGTCACTCATTAAACAGAAAAGTCATATCCTTTACGCGAAAGCTTTTTATTTATATATATATATACAGTCTAATTAGTTCATTTTTCCTGTTCATTTAAAAAAAAAAAATTGTTTAAAAATTTTACAAAAGATAATTTAATTAATGAAATTGAAAAATTATTAATATTCTCAGAATTAGAATAATTTCTAGTGAAACAAATACATTGTGATAAATTATAGAGTCAACTGAATCTAGGGAGTCATAAATGTTTCATAATTGTTTCCACGGAAATGCGTATATAGATTCTCTCAGCGAATATCGCTGATAAGTACTTCAGAATGTGAAAACGAACTGCATACATATATTTAAACTTTATGCAAATTAAGATCAAATATTATAATAAGATAGAATAAGCAAATTCGTTCCAGCAAACAATAATAGCGATATACCTTATTCTGAAATTATGACAAATAGAATTTTACTAAAATTAATTTTTAGTTTTTTGTAATTATTACAAAAAAAATTTATTTGATTCAAATACTCAATTATTTGACTATTATCAAAGAAATATTTACTAGAACTAAATAATTGAATAATAATAATAATTTAATTGTCTCAAATAATAATTATTTGATACACATAAATATTTATTTGATAATAAGTATAATCGAGTATTTAAACCAAATAAATTTTTTTTCAGTTAATTTTAATCCCAAGTTTTCATTCAAAATCGAATTTGAAATAAATCTTACTACGCGAATTTGTACTTTATTATAAAAACATATCTGATTTCAGTGTATGTTACAAAAATGTTTTTATTAAAAGCAAAAAATTGTACGAGTATAAATTTAATACTATTTTTCACAAGTAATTTAACGAAAAAAAAACCGAAGCTATATGGTTTCAAGTAAAATAAATCCGCCATTAGTAGTTTAAAGAGAAATTTTTTTTTTTAAATTGAGGAAAAATAATAATCCATGGTTTGAGGTATAACAATTTCATAACAAGGCCAGCAATCATAATCAAATATATAGACACACAAGTGTTTTGACATATCAGCAATGCGGGTAAACCTAATTTTTATTTAGATAGTACCGTAAAGCATAAATATACATCGCGTTTGAATATATACGAGTATATCAGAGGCTATCCCACATATACGACCGAGCAATCCTATGAATTACCGCAGGTGTTGGCCGATATCCTACATTAATGCTAATGCGTGGGTGTTACCGAATTGTTCAACAAGCACAGATTGAACGCGCCTCTGTAATATTGTAGCCACCGACTGGGCTTGGTGCATTATTCAGGCGGAATGCCGCCTGTTTTGTTACCCTCGTGTCGCGCGCTAACTTGCCCTAAACCTCACCTCGTCGAATTTCTATTTTATTTATGGGGGGAAAAAACACACAAAAAAAAATTTTTTTCCCAAAAATACATTTCTTTAAAAAATTTTAAAAACTTATTTTTAGGGTTCCGATCACGCAGCGAACGAAAACTAAGAAAAATCGAATTTTTTCTGAATTTTTTCCTGACAGGGTTTCACTTACGGGTGGTAAAAGAGGACTTCCTCCACTTGTATCGGGGTGTCAATTTTTTTCTACACTTTTCGGTGTATTTTGTGCAAGAAAATGCAATAAAATCGTCTGCCTAAGAAAAATTGAATTTTTTTGGAACGTTTTTTATGCTTTTGGATGCGTTTTTGGTCATAAAAAGGGTCTTCCTCTACTCGGATCTGGGTGTCAATTCTTCTCTACACTTTTCGGTGTATTTTGTGCAAGAAAATGCAATAAAATCGTCTGCCTAAGAAAAATTGAATTTTTTTGGTCAGTTTTTTATACTTTTGGATGCGTTTTTGGTCATAAAAAGGGTCTTCCTCTACTCGGATCTGGGTGTCAATTTTTTTCTACACTTTTCGGTGTATTTTGTGCAAGAATATGCTATAAAATCTTCTGCCTAAGAAAAATTGAATTTTTTTGGTAATTTTTTTTGGTTTTTCATGCGTTTTTGGTCATAAAAATGGTCTTCCTCTACTCGGATCTGGCTGGCAATTTTTTTCTACACTTTTCGGTGTATTTTGTGCAAGAAAATGCAATAAAATCGTCTGCCTAAGAAAAATTGAATTTTTTTGGTCAGTTTTTTTGATTTTGGATGCGTTTTTGGTCATAAAAAGGGTCTTCCTCTACTCGGATCTGGGTGTCAATTTTTTACTACACTTTTCGGTGTATTTTGTACAAGAATATGCAATAAAATCGTCTGCCTAAGAAAAATTTAATTTTTTTGGTCAGTTTTTTATCCTTTAGGATGCGTTTTTGGTCATAAAATGGGTCTTCCTCTACTCGGATCTGGGTGTCAATTTTTTTCTACACTTTTCGGTGTATTTTGTGCAAGAATATGCAATAAAATCGTCTGCCTAAGAAAAATTGAATTTTTTTGGTCAGTTTTTTTGCTTTTGGATGCGTTTTTGGTCATAAAAAGGGTCTTCCTCTACTCGGATCTGGGTGTCAATTTTTTTCTACACTTTTCGGTGTATTTTGTGCAAGAAAATGCAATAAAATCGTCTGCCTAAGAAAAATTGAATTTTTTTGGAACGTTTTTTATGCTTTTGGATGCGTTTTTGGTCATAAAAAGGGTCTTCCTCTACTCGGATCTGGGTGTCAATTCTTCTCTACACTTTTCGGTGTATTTTGTGCAAGAAAATGCAATAAAATCGTCTGCCTAAGAAAAATTGAATTTTTTTGGTCAGTTTTTTATACTTTTGGATGCGTTTTTGGTCATAAAAAGGGTCTTCCTCTACTCGGATCTGGGTGTCAATTTTTTTCTACACTTTTCGGTGTATTTTGTGCAAGAAAATGCAATAAAATCGTCTGCCTAAGAAAAATTGAATTTTTTTGGTCAGTTTTTTTGATTTTGGATGCGTTTTTGGTCATAAAAAGGGTCTTCCTCTACTCGGATCTGGGTGTCAATTTTTTACTACACTTTTCGGTGTATTTTGTACAAGAATATGCAATAAAATTGTCTGCCTAAGAAAAATTTAATTTTTTTGGTCAGTTTTTTATCCTTTAGGATGCGTTTTTGGTCATAAAATGGGTCTTCCTCTACTCGGATCTGGGTGTCAATTTTTTTCTACACTTTTCGGTGTATTTTGTGCAAGAATATGCAATAAAATCGTCTGCCTAAGAAAAATTGAATTTTTTTGGTCAGTTTTTTATACTTTTGGATGCGTTTTTGGTCATAAAAAGGGTCTTCCTCTACTCGGATCTGGGTGTCAATTTTTTTCTACACTTTTCGGTGTATTTTGTGCAAGAAAATGCAATAAAATCGTCTGCCTAAGAAAAATTGAATTTTTTTGGTAAGTTTTTTATACTTTTGGATGCGTTTTTGGTCATAAAAAGAGTCTTCCTCTACTCAGATCTAGCTGGCAATTTTTTTCTACACTTTTAGGTGTATTTTGTGCAAGAAAATGCAATAAAATCGTCTGCCTAAGAAAAATTGAATTTTTTTGGTCAGTTTTTTTGCTTTTGGATGCGTTTTTGGTCATAAAAAGGGTCTTCCTCTACTCGGATCTGATTGTAAATTTTTTTCTACACTTTTAGGTGTATTTTGTGCAAGAAAATGCAATAAAATCGTCTGCCTAAGAAAAATTGAATTTTTTTGGTCAGTTTTTTTGCTTTTGGATGCGTTTTTGGTCATAAAAAGGGTCTTCCTCTACTCGGATCTGGGTGTCAATTTTTTTCTACACTTTTCGGTGTATTTTGTGCAAGAAAATGCAATAAAATCGTCTGCCTAAGAAAAATTGAATTTTTTTGGAATGTTTTTTATGCTTTTGGATGCGTTTTTGGTCATAAAAAGAGTCTTCCTCTACTCGGATGTGGGTGTCAATTTTTTTCTACACTTTTCGGTGTATTTTGTGCAAGAAAATTCAATAAAATCGTCTGCCTAAGAAAAATTGAATTTTTTTGGTCAGTTTTTTTGCTTTTGGATGCGTTTTTGGTCATAAAAAGGGTCTTCCTCTACTCGGATCTGGGTGTCAATTTTTTTCTACACTTTTCGGTGTATTTTGTGCAAGAAAATGCAATAAAATCGTCTGCCTAAGAAAAATTGAATATTTTGGAACGTTTTTTATGCTTTTGGATGCGTTTTTGGTCATAAAAAGGGTCTTCCTCTATTCGGATCTGGGTGTCAATTTTTTTCTACACTTTTCGGTGTATTTTGTGCAAGAAAATGCAATAAAATCGTCTGCCTAAGAAAAATTGAATATTTTGGAACGTTTTTTATGCTTTTGGATGCGTTTTTGGTCATAAAAAGGGTCTTCCTCTACTCGGATCTGGGTGTCAATTTTTTTCTACACTTTTCGGTGTATTTTGTGCAAGAAAATGCAATAAAATCGTCTGCCTAAGAAAAATTGAATTTTTTTGGAATGTTTTTTATGCTTTTGGATGCGTTTTTGGTCATAAAAAGAGTCTTCCTCTACTCGGATGTGGGTGTCAATTTTTTTCTACACTTTTCGGTGTATTTTGTGCAAGAAAATTCAATAAAATCGTCTGCCTAAGAAAAATTGAATTTTTTTGGTCAGTTTTTTTGCTTTTGGATGCGTTTTTGGTCATAAAAAGGGTCTTCCTCTACTCGGATCTGGGTGTCAATTTTTTTCTACACTTTTCGGTGTATTTTGTGCAAGAAAATGCAATAAAATCGTCTGCCTAAGAAAAATTGAATATTTTGGAACGTTTTTTATGCTTTTGGATGCGTTTTTGGTCATAAAAAGGGTCTTCCTCTATTCGGATCTGGGTGTCAATTTTTTTCTACACTTTTCGGTGTATTTTGTGCAAGAATATGCAATAAAATCGTCTGCCTAAGAAAAATTGAATTTTTTTGGAACGTTTTTTATGCTTTTGGATGCGTTTTTGGTCATAAAAAGGGTCTTCCTCTACTCGGATCTGATTGTAAATTTTTTTCTACACTTTTCGGTGTATTTTGTGCAAGAAAATGCAATAAAATCGTCTGCCTAAGAAAAATTGAATTTTTTTGGTCAGTTTTTATGCTTTTAGATGCGTTTTTGGTCATAAAAAGAGTCTTCCTCTACTCGGATCTGGGTGTCAATTTTTTTCTACACTTTTCGGTGTATTTTGTGCAAGAAAATGCAATAAAATCGTCTGCCTAAGAAAAATTGAATTTTTTTGGAACGTTTTTTATGCTTTTGGATGCGTTTTTGGTCATAAAAAGGGTCTTCCTCTACTCGGATCTGGGTGTCAATTCTTCTCTACACTTTTCGGTGTATTTTGTGCAAGAAAATGCAATAAAATCGTCTGCCTAAGAAAAATTGAATTTTTTTGGTCAGTTTTTTTGCTTTTGGATGCGTTTTTGGTCATAAAAAGGGTCTTCCTCTACTCGAAACTGGCTGGCAATTTTTTTCTACACTTTTCGGTGTATTTTGTGCAAGAATATGCAATAAAATCGTCTGCCTAAGAAAAATTGAATTTTTTCGAAAATTTTTTTTTTGAGGGGGTTGCTTTAATGGTGCTAATAGGGGTCTTTCCCTACTTATATCGGGGTATAAAATTTTTTCTACCCTTTTAGTTGTATCTGGTCGCTCTGAAGTGGCTTTGATTAGGTGTGGCGTTTCATCCCCTTCTAGGGCCCTGATAAGGCAATTTCTATAGGGGAATTTTATTTAATTACCCGTGCAGAAATTTTGAAAGGAAAGTGTTTGGAAGCTCCAAAATCGCATGAAACAGGGAACCCAATATGGACCACAGAAAAAGCCCTCTTTTAGCCCGATTAAAATCGATAAAAACCGGGTTCTGACCAGGGCCCTGGTTTGGCCACGGTCGGGTTCTCTATATCAATCAGATCAGGGCAAGTTTTGCGAATTTCAGCACTGATATCGATTAGATATTTGTTTTATTTAATTATCAATTAAATAAAATTATAATAATATAATTATAAGATTTTAAAATTTTTTTTTAAATGAATTTTCTCTTTAAAATTACTTTAGACAAACCGTAATTTTCTTTTACAGGTATAAGTTGCAGGAGGAAAGAAAAGGAAGAAGAATGAAGATTCAGCAGCATCCTTGAGAGTAAAACTTTTCGTACAAGAAAAACTAAGGCACACACACACATATATAGAGAGGAAGAAAATAGGAAAAATCTATTGAACCGAATCGTAGCCCGCGATGTTTACGAGCTTTTATAGTAGTGGCGAACGATGAATGATTTGCATAAAAAGAACCACTTCTAAAATATATAGTCTTTTACTCTTAGCGAGAGGGACATAAATGTACATATATTCCATCAGATAAATCCTTTCATCTTACTAAAAATATTTACGAGATACTCTCATACATAAATTTCACTATTTATTGTTTTTTTTTTGAAAAAAAATTTTTGTTTGTAATTAAATACATTAAATTTTTGTAAATATTTTCTAATTGCAAAATTAATATATAATGATTTTCTACACTCGTCGAGAAATTGTATTTTTCAAATAGAAATTGATTGATATTAAATTTGTTAAAAAGGAGATTGCATATTTTAATAGATTCAGGGAATAAATTCCATTTTTAAATTCTATTGCTCCGAGACGTATTGCAAAGAATTCACTTTAGGGCGCATGAGAATCACAATAATGGAGAGAGAGAGGGTTCAAAGGCAACCTTCAATTTTGCCGAATTGAATATATAGAAATTTATATGGCTTCATAAGAATCTCGCAGAGTATGGAACTGACAGGTCTCGTTTTGGAATTTTATCTTAGAAACATTATTCACAAGTTTTTGTAGTTCATTGATTTTTTTTCGTATTGTTAACAACTCACTTCTTGCGGGAAAAAAAAAATTATGGTGTTATCTACAAACTGCAGTTGTAGTCTCCACAAAACAACTAATTTTGGTAAATAAACAAATTTTTTTTTTGTTTTTTTTCTTTGCAGTTTTTTTTTTAGACTTTGTCTATTCTAAAATTGAAGTTGTCAGAATAAATTTTTTTTATCGAATTTGTGGAGAAATGAAAAGAGAATTATAAATATTTAATTTTCAACATATTACTCGTTAGTTCATTATAGTTTTGCGGTTAAAATCTTTCATGAATAGTCAAATGTTTCTTTCATGAAATATGGTTGGTTCTCAGTGAATTAGCTTTTTCCTGTTTCTAGACGTTCTCTCTCTCTCTCTCTCCCTCTCTTTCTCTCTATATGAACCATCATAAAATGCAAATTGCTAACTGCTCCGTTGTTCTAGAAATTATTATGCCGTGTGCATATGTGGACAACTTTGGTGATGCCAGTCTTGCTCGACGTATTGTTGCATGTTAATTTAATATCTGTAACGTATATTTTCATATACGGGTTTAGAAAAAAAGTTAAAAATGCAATCTACGAGGGCGTATATATATTTTTTCTAAATTAATTTCAAAAAACCCCTTTTTTTATGGATAAAAGTTGCACAGAGAAGAAGAAGAAGAAAAGGCAATAATTTAATCAAAGGAAGAAAAGCGTTGTAGCTATATATAGGTAGGATTCACACAGCCATCCGGCAGAACATATTAATATCTCGAGTTTTGACATTTCAGGACGCAAAAGGGGTATGAGGAGAGGTACAGTCAACGGAGTAATCAGAGGGCTAGATTAATTGTTTCCATGGGACTCTTGCCCTGGTGTACAACACAAACGCGCCAACACTCGGGACTTGTGTTGATAATACCAACAGGCAACCTAATACCATAATTCAAGTCACTGTATATATATATATAGGCTGTTGGGAAGTATATTGCAATTTCTTTTCTTAGAAAATATCCTCTTTGAAATAAAAGAATCAAAAATTTAGTTTTTTTTTCAAAAAAATATTTACTATTTACCGTATTATAAATAGAGGAAAAAACCACGAGGATTTGACTTTTATTCGATTTAAAGCTACGAAGGAAAACTTCCTTAGAATGATGGAGCGCTGAGTGGACGAGAACCGGGGAGTTTCAATCGTATAATACTCCTACGACCTTTTCAGTTTCTTGATACTTATCGCGACATCCTCCTCTATCGACTTCTTCAGTTTCAATGAATCTACACTTAACACTACTCAAAATGTCAGCACAATTTAAAAAAAAAATCCAATCTCTGAAAAACATATTAAACTATTTTTAATTTCATTTTTATTTTCGAAATTCATAATTCGTTATTTAAATTTATATCACATTTTCGATAAATCACATTGATTTGTATAAAAAAAAAACGACAAATACAAAAAATAACTTTCTTTTTCTTACAGACTTGATATATTTTGATCAAAATATCTCAAGATTTTTCCCACGTGTTGTTGAATTTCTAACTCTAAATATGTGCCACAAGTCTGTTTTCTCCTCACGTCAAAGAAGAAATGTGCATAACATATATATAGATATAAGTTCAAGCAAAGAATAAATCAATTTTATATATATATGTGTGTGTTTAAAAAAAAAAGTTGCGTCAAACAGAAGGAAACATCTTTAACATGAAACGAATGCTCACAACTTTGGTGTATATGAAATAAAATGAAAAAAGAATCTAAAAGTTGAAAAGTTATCAATCACGAGTAGAGTTTTTTTTTTACATTCTACTTTTTGATATAAAAATCGGTTGAATTTATATATTCTCTGACACATTTCAACGGTAAAATTGTGTTTTTTTTTTTTTTAGTGAAAGCAGAACAATTTCATTAAAACTCGTTTTCAGATTAAAAAAAAATATTTCTAATTATTTTTTCAGAGTATTCAATGAAATTATTATAATAAATGGATTTTTAAGGTCATTTAATTTTTATATCTGCAGTTTTTCTCGAAAAATAATTAAACTAAAATTTTGTAGAATTTAAAATTATTATAGGTAATTGCTATTATGTATTAATATTTTGGTTAAAAAATTTATTTTTAAAAAAATTTCATATTTGAGCAAAATTCTGAATGTTGATAAATGTAATTTTAACCATTTCTATAAATATGCAATTTTTTTTGTTTGTTAAGGCATTGGTGTATGACAACAAATTCTGATACTATTTTTGAATTCCTTGCAAAATTTTAGATCAATTTAATAATTATTTTGAGGAGAAAACCTGTGGAGAATATTTATATGTGAAAACACAAGTCATATGACCTTAAATTAAAAATTAGATAAAGTATAATTATAAATATAAACATCAATATAAATATACACTCGGAACAAAAAAATTTATTTGAAACAAACAAATTTTTCTTGAATCAACTAAATAAATGCTATACAGTTAAGCAAACTTTTGATTGAATCAACAAAAAGTTTATTTGACTCAATCAATTCTTTCTTCAATATAAAAATTTATTAAAATAAACCAAACATTTATTTTGATCAAATAAATATTTATTTGAATCAAATAAACTTTGTTTAAAATAACCAAATAATTGTGTTAATTCCAAAAAAAAATATGGTATATTTGGTTCAAAGAAAATTTTTTTCTAAGTGTAAATACAAAATGTTAGTATGGTCAATTTGGGTAAATGGGGACAGCTTGTTATTATTAACCAAATTAACAAAAATCAAAAATTCAAGTGAATTTCTGTTATGGGAGTCATAAGGAATAAGAAAAAAAATTTGGTTATTATCAAATAAATATTATAAATATTATTATTATTATTATTATTATTATTATTATTATAAAATATTATTATTATTATTATATTATTATTATTATATTATCAAATGAAATATTTCAGTATTAGAAGCAAATACCATTTATTTGATTCAAATAAGAAATATTTGATTCATGTAAATATTTATTTAATAATAACCAAATACACCGGTATTTGAATCAAATAAATTTTTTTTCAGTGTATCTACTATAAATTTTTTTTCAAGTTTTTTCATCCCTTAATGCAGTAATATACTTATGGAAACTTTTTTCTTAAAACTTTATTAGAAACAATGCTGTCCCAAATTTTATGAAATTTTCTAAATTTTGGGGTAAATGGAGACAGTCAGTTTCATGCGTTTAAAGCTTATCTAAATTTTTTTTCTGCCTCATAAAATTAATCCTGGGAACGTAAATAACAACTTAAAAAAAATAAATCCGCAAATATTATCTTTTAAAGGAAGAAACTTTTGTAATTTGTGAAAAATAGCGATTTTGTCCCCATTTACCCCAACTGATTCTAAATATTAATATAAATATAAATATAAATATAAATATAAATATAAATATAAATAAATATAAATATAGAGTAAATATGAAATGTTATTCTCACCTACAACATGTAAATAACCATACTGCGTTTTGGCAGTGACAGTGTTAATCTGGCACATGTATTTTCCCTTGTCGTCCTCTTGCACATCGTTGATATGAAGATACCACGTCCTGTGCTTATCGTGTGACACGGCTATCCTTGGGTTCCTCGTAATAACGTGATTGTGTACCGTCAAAATAGCACTCTGATCGAAGAGCATCCAAGCCACCTGAAAACAGAGACAATCGATCGTTCATCTCTAAATGTCGCCTGTGTCAATAAGATCCTATCTTATATACTAAAGACAATATACCACAAGATACAAGTGCTCATTATACAATCTAGTTTAACGTCTTTATATATATATATATACCAATGACCCTGACTATAAATTACTTTATTCAACAATAATAATAAAATTAAATCTCATTTTTCTTTCACTACAAATTCAGTTTACAAAACTTTTAAGAGATTCTCTTTTTTTAATAGTTTTTTTTTTTTTCTTCTTTTTTGCAAACACAACCTTTTATGTTGCTTCCATATAGGAGAAAAGTTCAATTGTTTTACTCGAAAGTTTTATTGTTTCGTGTAAAAAAAAGAAGACTTTAAATTTAAACTAGATTGTCAAAAAAAAAAAAAAAACTTTTTGATTTTTGTAAATAAAAAAAAAAAAACAATTGTTTACAAAATAACATTTTTGTAACCCTAACAGCATTCCGATATTATTTTATTATTTCCAAATACTTCTCTGTGTATTCTAAAATATTTGTTCTTTAAAAAAATAAAAATGTTTACAAAAGCAGATCAATAAAAAAAAAATTTAAATAAAATAAAAATAAATACACTGAGAAAAAAAATTCAGTGTTTGCAACAAAATTGTTTGGTTAGGCAATTTTGGTTCTTGTAACCAAATTTTGGTTGGCTGAAACAAAGTCGTAGAGTTATCTCAACCAAACATTTGGTTAGGCCAACAAAATTATTTGGTTGAACATTTTTAAATTCCAACTAAAATTAAGTTACGACAACAAAATAATTTGGTTAACACAACAAAATAGTTTGGTTTAAAAAACCAAATGATCGTTTGTTGTCCTAACCAAAAAAAAATTTGGTTGCGACAACCAAACATTTTTGTTATGCCAACAAAAAACACTCAACCAATTTTTTTGGTTGACTCAAACTAAATAATTTGATTCGCTCTCAGCTCCCGACCTTCAGTTTTAAAACAGAGGTTCGATCCCAGGCGGAGATGAGATTTTTCAAAGTCCACAAATATTTCAATTGGATAAATATAAATTCAATGTTAAATTGATAATAAATAAATAAAAGAGATAAGGTAAAATAAAATTTTTAATTTTACAAAAAAAAAACTGTTTGTTTGATGAACCAAACATTTTTGTTGACCTAACAAAAAAAATTTGGTTGCGCTAACCAAACATTTTTGTTATGCCAACAAAAAACACCCAACCAAATTTTTTGGTTGAATATTTTTTGGTTGAATCAAACAAATAGTTTGGTTGCTTAAATACCAACAAAATTTTTTTTGTTAGCCCAACCAAATTTTTAGTTGCTCTGACTAAAAATTTTTCTCAGTGTATTTACAAATAAAATACAAAGAAAGTTTTTTTTTTTTTTTTAATAAAAAAAATGAAATTTTCAACAATTTTTATCATGAAATATTTCTTTTGAAGCATAAAACGTTAAGTTTTATTCAGTAAAAAAAAGAGAGAGAGAGAAGAAAATAATTCCTTCACTAATCCAACAAAATGTTCTTTAATAAATAAAGTACGGAAATTGCATCTTAAAAAATTCACCATATACCTTTTCTCAATTGTTTCTGCAATATTTTATGCTCTAATGTTTCGCGAGATTAATTTTCACGAAATAGAGAAAGAAAGAGAGAGAAAGATAAAAATAGAGAGAGAGAGAAAGAAATGAAAATAAAATAAAAATTTTCTTCGTCACAAAAAAAAGAAGTCAATGTAGTGTAAAGAAATGTATTATCGAGTGTGCGATAAAATTGGAGAACCTGGCAAAAGGACATGTGTATAGTGTGGAAAAGAAAAGTGAAATCTCCTCGCGACTATATATATATTGTACAGAGGTGCAGATAAATAGAGAGATGGCGAAATGGCAAGGAGTAAATGGCAGAAAGATGGATATAGGCAACTACAAAGAGAGAAAAAAAAAGAGATAATAAGATCAGTGGCAGAAGATAAGAAAGAAAGAAGAAAAGAGAGCTTTGGGGTGAAAATTCGTTACATCAAAAGTGCAATCGCACACGTTTGACCCCTGGGGTATACTATTCCTTGAAACCTATACATATGATCTACAACACCCCCTCGAAACATTATATGATCAATGCAAAAAAAAAAAAATGAAAGTTATGGATATTTGAATCATATTTTATTTTATCACTAATAAAATTTAAAAAAAAAAATTTATCATACTTTCCCAGGTAGAAAAATTAACATTACTAACGTTACTAATATTACTAATGTTATTAACGTTAGTATCTATAAAAAAATAAGAAAATGTTTTTAAATTGTATTTTTGCAGAAACTTGTCGAAAATCGACCACCAGGAAGTATTTAATGTTCTTACCCGCACTTTTTATAATTTTCATTTCTATTATCACTTCCACTTTTTTATTTTCATTACCGTTTCCACTTTCACTTTTTCTAATTCTCATTCGCACTTCCATTCCCACTTCCACTCTTTCTAATTCTCATTTCCACTTTCACTTTCACTTTTTTATTTTCATTACCACATCCACTTTTTCTAATTTTTATTCCCACTTCCCTTTTTCTAATTTTCATTCCAACTTCTACTCCCATTTTCTCCACTTCTAATTTTCATTAGCTGTTGACATTTCGACTAAAACTTTTTCTAATTTCCATTTACACAACCATTTCCACTTTTTTTAATTACCATGGATGGAAATTAGAAAAAGTGAAAGTGATAATGAAAATTTAAAAAATTAGGAACGAAAGTGAGAGTGAAAATATAAAAAAGTTGTAATGAAAATAAAAAAGTAGAAGATGAAATGGGAATGAAAATTGGAACAAGTGGAAGTGAAAGTGTGAATGAGAATTAGAAAAAGTGGTAGTGGCAATGAATATAAAAAAGTGGAAATAGGAATGGGAATGAAAATTAGAAAAAGTGGAAGTGGCAATGAATACAAAAAAGTGGAAGTGAAAATGGGAATGAAAATTATAAAAAGTGGAAGTGAAGTTGGAATGAGAATTAGAAAGAGTAGAAGTGAGAATGAAAGTGCGAATGAGAATTAGAAAAAGTAGAAGTGGAAATGGAAATGAAAATTATAAAATGTTTAAGTGTAAGTGAAAGTGAAATTGGTAATGGGAAAATAGTGGCAAAGTTTCTGTGAAAATATATTTTAGAAACTCTTAATTTTTTTATAGGTACTAACGTTAGTAACATTAGTAATGTTAGTAACATAAGTAACGTTAGTAACGTTAATTTTTTCACCTGGGTATCTTATTCCAGATTTTGTAAATTATAAATTTAATTAATTTGCAATTATTTTAATTTAAATGAAAATCATATTTTTTGTTACTGATTTCAGAAATAAAACTCTTTCCGGAAATTAAGAAAAAAAATTTGCCTGTAAAAGTAAAAAAAAAGCAGTTTTTTTTTATTATTCATTAATTTCGCTATCGACTTTTTGTAATTAAATTTTGGAGTTGATTACATTTTAAAAATATGTAGAATATATAATCCTCTTTAAGCTCGACATATGCATATTCAAAAAATAATCCCAGTAAAATTCATTCATTTTTACAAAAATAAGTGAACCAATTTAATTAAAAGGATTGAAAAAAACATACATATATATTTAATTCTTTGGAAATTGTTATTGCAATTAATTTTTCTGTTATATACTGTATTAAAACTCTTTTGAATCAATTATTTTTAGTGACACAAAATTTCTAATTAAAAAGAATATATTATAAAAAAAGAAATTCCTTTTCTAAAAGAAGATTATTTTCAAGTATATAACAAAATTCAATGTGCGCGCACTATTTTTTTTAAACTTTCATATTTTCTGTCTCTGTTATTTTGTATAGCTTCTGAAAAGCATTTGCATTGAAACTTTTGAAAAGTCGCCAATGTACGTACACCGAATTGTACCAGTGAACTATGAAATATTTATGTTTTCCTGTTTCGCGAAAGGAGAGAGGAAACGAAAGAGTGAAAAGAGAATTTCTGTGGTAAAGAAGAGAACAAAAAAAAAAAAAAAAAATATTGCGAAAAGGTAAGAACACTATTTTTCTTATATACTTTTGAGAAAAGCCCTTTGGAGAAAAATAATAGGAAAAAAAAAATCATGTGCACTTTTTATGCCTTTCGGTCATTGTATCATCTATATATAATGAACAATGTGTGCAAAAAGGAAAATGATTCTGGCTTCAAATCAAAAGAAGTTAAAAGCTTTCAGATAAAAGAGGGATTATCAAAAATGTATCACCTTTCTATTCAATTACATTATTTCGATAAGAATTTATGAATTTTTTTTCCGTATCCAAAGAAAAAAATTTTTATTTTTTTTAAAATTTTTTTTTAGTATAATTTAAATTGACATGAAAGGAAGCTAAATATGTGCAAGCAGAGAATTCACATCCCCCAAATGGAATCAAGCAAGACCGTCTGAATTAATATTGCGAGGTCTCTCGTTAGTCAAGAAATGAATTATATGAACAGTACACATTGTTTTGGTTACAATACAGAAATTCTGATTAACCAATTATTAATTTTAATGTTATGCATAAATGTATCAAGCCCTTGTTACATATACGATACAAATATGCATAATGAACGAAAACCTTGTTCACTGTATTATATTAATTTTTTTTTTCTTCAATTAATATGCATATGTACTTTATACAATAAAATTTGTATTATAAAAAAGAACTCATCTCTGAAATATACATTTCAAAATTCAATCTAACAATTTAGTGTGAAAAAATTTCCAGCACATAAATTATATTTTATTTTCATTGAGACAATTTTTGGAATTAGGGTAAATGCACTAATTGCGGCGAGATTCGAGTCAAAACACCTTTGAAATAGAAAATTCGATATTTCTATTGTATAAACTCAATTTAAGACTTATTAAACTTAAAGCTTATGTTATTAAGATATTAAAAAAAATTTTAACTCTATAAAAATCGATTATTTAAACAAATATGAGAAATTAAAACTAATACCGTA